CCCAGCTAGACAAACATACTTTAGTTTCTCGGCAGACGGAGAGCCTGCGAGTCTAGAATGGGCACTGGAGGAGCTGCTTTTGGCCACGTGTGAGGTGCCCCCTGCTATACTTGGCCACGGGGCGATGGCTTAAGCATGACCCGCCGCCAATGAATGGTGGGTGTCGCACACGTAAAAAGCTACAGCGGACTCGTGTAATTCATATTCGCCCGCGGTTCGTCTGGGCTTCGTTCGTTTCCCGAATTGCTTTGGGAGAGACGGAGGACTCGCCCAAGAGCCTCGGCTTTCGAAAAAAAAAAGAGATCCATCCCGCCATCTCCGCCTTCGAGAGCCTTCTTTACGCGGATGGAAGGAGGTTCCCATTCTCCCCGACAGCCTCTCCATCTCGCCGTATTTACATAGTTTCAAAGAAAGTCGGGCAGCGAAATGCAAGGTTGTGAACGAACGGTTGAGGGGCATCGCCGTCTCATTTACATTCATGCCACGACCACCGCCGGCAAGATGCACAGCGTCGCGGCGACTTTCCTCATTGTTTCGTCCCCGCGTAGTCCGGGTAGTTGCCGCCGCGAACGAACCGATCTGAAACGCCATTGGAAAGTACGCCGAGAGAGCGCCGAGTCCCCGAAACTGGCCGAGCAGGAGTTATGGGGTCAAATAACTCAGCGGTTAATTCTTCCACATGTTAGAGGCATCGTCATTAAACTATTATGAAAGGAGAGGCCATTTATCGTACTTTATTGAGCGTGGATCGAGGAGAGAATGATAAGAAAAGGAAGGAAATGCTGGAGGATTCTTCGCCAGAGCTCGGAGGGGATGCCCGACAGATGGAGCCGATAAAAGACTCGCTCTTACACGGAAGAAAAAGAGGGAGATGATTAGATTGTATAAAAAAAAGAAAATGAAAGATGCCAAACAAAAAAAAAAAAAAGATAAAAGACCAAGATGCGCAATGAGATAGAACACGGCTTGTCAGATTACAAAAAAATAAGAATAAGAAAGAGAAAGAAGACAGAGACAGAGAGAAAGATAGAGAAAGAAAAGGAATAGAAAACGAAAGAACCACCACAACAACTCCCATCCCTTCTCAATACCCCCTCCCCCCCCAAAAAAAAAAAAAAAAATCTCACAGCCGTCAAAAACCAGGCGGACCAAAGCTGGTGAAACGCTCAGCAAAAACACACGGGGGAAGGAAGGGGAAAAATGTATATCTGAAAGGATGATTCCGATTGGTGAGACCTGCCGAGAGGCCGCCAGTGGGTCAGTAGGACTCGGAGCGGAGGAGGAGGAGGAGGAGAGGAGGAGGAGGAGGGGGAAGAAGTGAGGAGGAGTAGAGAAGAAGTGGAGAGGAGTAGGAGGAAGAATGGAAGACTTCAAGAGGAAGTGGAGGAGGAGAAGAAGAAGGGAGACTTGAAGAGGAAGTGGAGGAGGAGGAAGAAGAATGGGAGGACTTGAAGAGGAAGTGGAGGAGGGTGGAGGAAGGAGGAAGAAGAATGGGAGGACTTGAAGAAGTGGAGAGACTTGAGGAAGGGACTGGAGGACTGAAGAGGAGAAGAGGAAAATGGGAGGATGTGAAAAGGAGGAAGAGGAGGCTCAGAAGAAGAAGGAATTGGAGAGAAAGAAAAAGAGGAGGAGGAAGTTTTAGATTTTTATTCTGCTCTCCTCTCCCTCTCTTTTTTGGGGAGGAGAAAGGGGCGGGAGAGTCTTTCATGTCTTTCTCTTGTTTTCCTTATTTTCTTGCTGTTTTGGTTTTATTTTATTTTACATCTTTATGTTTGTCTTCTTTTTCTTTTTCTACTTTCTAACATCACCACATTCCTTCTCTCTCTCTCTCTCTCTCTCTCTCTCTCTCTCTCTCCTCTCTCTCTCTCTCTCTCTCTCTCTCTCTCTCTCTCTCTCTCTCTCTCTCTCTCTCTCAAAGAAGGAAACGAGCATAAAGAAAATTATTTAAGAAAAGAAGACGGAGATGAAACAGGAATAGCAAAAAAAAAGAGAAGATTGTGATCACAGGAAAGCAGGAAAGATAATTATTTCTGATTAGACGGTACAATCTCCTCTCGTCTTTTTATTCTTTTTCTTTTTTTCTTCCATTTCTTATTGGAAAGAGGAGGGAGAGGAGGGGTGATAACCCATCCGGTACATAAAGGTAGATTAGTAGGTAGGAGAGACTTACAACCCATTCGATATAAGTTATAGATCTACTCCGTTGGGTCGACAAAAGTAGATTAGTAGGTAGAAGAAACTTATAACCCATTCGATAGAACTCTACTCTACTCTACTCCGTTCCATAGACAAAAGTAGATTAGTAGGTAGATATAGCATGTAGATAAGACATTATACCCATTCGATACAAGTTATATATCTACTCCGTTCGGTAGACAAAGGTAGACTAAGAGGGAGAGGAAAGAGACAGTACATAGTCGACCTGTAGACTCGGCGCCTGTTAAGAGTGGGTCTTGGGGCAGCTAATAGTGTCAGGTGGGGGGGGGGGGTCGTAAAGACATGTGTGGGAAGACTAGACGTTTCTGTCTGATCCTCGCGTCTTTGGGGCATCGTTCGTACATGTCTCAGCGTCTTGAGGTTGAATAGAATAGTGTGTGTTGAGTTTGACGCGATCTGTTGCAGTGCAAGTTCGAAATGTGCTTGTCCTGGTTGGGCAAAATTCGTATGGTTTATAGGTATCGAAATAATCGAGAAAACAAACAAACAAACAAACACAGTATTTCGTTTCAAGCGAATCACAAACACACGCGGAACATACAGAAATTCCTTCGCTTATTGTTAGATCCATTTCCCCCTCCGTGCGTCGGTTTCTTAGTTCCATTTCCCCCCGCGGTCTCGCTCGAAGGGTTATGATGAGTTTTATGTTTTTCTGTGGGTATGTTGGAGAGAGCGGGGGGGGGGGGGAGGCGATGTGGATAGTAAGACCGGAGACGATTTTGTTGGAAATGTAAAATGATCATGATAATTCTCCCGAAAGATTTATTTCAAGATTGGTGATCAATCCCCCCCCCTCCCTCCCCCGCCCTCTCCCTACCCTCGACCTGTCCCATTCATCTATCCCCTCTATTCTATCCGTGCCCCCCCCCCTTCCCCTTCATCCAACACCCTTCCTCCTTTTCCCAGTTCCATACCCACTTCCTACCCACACACCCCCTACCCCTACTCTATCTATACCCCTACCCAGCAGCTTCCACACCACCCCCCTCCCCTACCCATACCCCCTTCCCAACCGCCATTCATACCCACTCCCCTCCCCGACCCTAAATTGTACCCCCCCCCTCCTCCCCCCCCTCTCAACCCTCTTTTTAGAACCGACTACTAAGAAATGACGCAATATCTCAGCACGATTTTTTTTCTTCATTTTCCTCCCTCCCTCTTCGCTTCCTCCCCCCCTCCCCTGCCTGCCTTCTTCCCTCCCTCCCATCCTCCTCCTTCCTCCTTCTATCTTCTCCCTTCTTCCCTTCCCTTCCCTCTCATCTTCCCCTCCTCCCCTCCCTCCTTCCCTCCCTCTCTCCCTTCCCTCCGCCTCCCTTCCCCCCATCTTCCCTCCCTCCCCCCTCTCCCTCCCTCCCTCCCCCTCTCCCTCCCTCCCTCTCCCCGTGCAGACTTTCTCTCGCTCTCTGCTATTTCCGCCTTCCTCTCCATCTGCCATGTATGCCCTTCTTTTCATATCTCTTTTGGTTTATTCTTTTTCTTCTCCCCTCTATTTATCATCTTCTTGTTTGTCTCCTTTTGGTTTCTGTTTTTTTTTTTTTTTTTTTTTTTTTTTTTACTTAATCGTCAAAATTGTAGTGAAGATGGCACTGTCTTCCCTCCTGTATCTATTATTCCTTCCTTCATCTATCAACCAGTGCATTTGTTTATACTCAATTATTCATTTACTCATCATTCATTCATCGTGTCCTCATTTCCTTACAAGATGTCGGGAGAGGTCGCGTTTCTTGCCGATTTTCTTATGAAGACGGAGGAGAGAGACGTGTGTGTGTGTGTGTGTGTGTGTGTGTGTGTGTGTGTGTGTGTGTGTGTGTGTGTGTGTGTGTGTGTGTGTGTGTGTGTGTGTGTGTGTGTGTGTGTGTGTGTGTGTGTGTGTGTGTGTGTGTTGCGTGTGTGTGGTTTGGGCTTGAGTATGTACGTATATCGGAATAATCTGAAAAAAATAAAGTCATTGCTTACGCCATGCAATAATTGATATCAAAGATGATAATGTAAACAAAATATACGTAAATGCAATCATGATATGCAACAGCTAGCATCAACGAACAGACGGCGTCCACCCTATCACCATACTCGATTTTCCTCACCATCATCACCATACTCACCGCCCATATTCACTGCTCTTTGCATACTCATCACCAATGCCCTTTGCTCATGACTTACTCATCACCATTACTCATCACCATACTCACCGCCCTTTGCAGACTCATCACCATCGAGCCAGCATCACCATACTCACCCTCAGACTCATCACCACCACCATACCCATCGCCCTTTGCATACTCATCACCACCACCTTTCCCGGGGCGTCGTTCGAGCAACTGGAGCGACTCGTGAACGAAACCATGACAATACTCTCACGTTGGGGGTCTTGTTGTGTCTCGTTGGTTCTCCTCATTCATCGTTTCTTTCTTCTTCTCTTCTCTTCTCTTCTTCTTCTCTTTCTTCTTCTTCTTCTTCTTCTTCTTTGTTCTTCTTCTTCTTCTATCTTCTTTCTTTTCTTCTTCTTCTCTTCTTCTTTCTTCTTCTTCTTCTTCATCTTCGTTTTAGCACGTTGTGATATTTTTGTGATTTTGTATACTTACCTCTTGTTTGCTTATGAGTGGATTCTCATATGAACCACATATACATACATACATACATACATTACGTACATACATTTACGCACACACATACGTATACACAGTATATAGTCTTTCTATAAATATAATTCTATGACCTTTTATAAATACGCCAAAGTGTCTCCCTGTTCCTCCCTTGCTAACCCCGACGCGCCCTCCTTGCAGGTGGCGAGCAGCGAAGACGCCGCCGAGGTGGAGACCCCCGCCGCCCCCGCCGCCCCCGCCCCCCGCCGCCCCACAGCAGTAGAAGCCAGCGAAGACCCCGCGCAGGAGACCCCCGTCGCCCAGGACCGCTCGGACGCCGCCCTCATCGGCGACGAAGAGGCCCCAGACCTGATCGCCCTCGAGTCCTCCGTGGACCGCGACTCGGCCTCCTACGCCCCGCCCCCTCCGTCGGGCCACGGCCCTCCGCCGCCCTCGCCCGTGGCCATCCCCGTGCCCTTGCCCGTGTCCGTGCAGCCGGGCCGCCTCGTCATCCCCGGCCTGCCCCGCCAGCCCGGCCCCCACAACAAGGAGGGGTCGCGCCCCCCGCCTCGCCCCTTCGGCCCCCGCCCGCCCTTCCGCCTCCTCCCCCTCCCCTCCCCCCGGCTACGGCGTGCCCCAGGCGAAGCAGCCGCCCACACCCATCTACAACCCCCCACCCCACCCAAAGCCCACCTACGCTGCTCCCCGCCCACCGCCACCCACCTACAACGCTCCTCCCCCACCCAATCCCACCTACAATGCCCCACCACCTCCTCCCCAGCCCACCTACAACGCTCCACCCCCGCCCCCACAGCCCTCGTACAGCGCCCCCGTGCCCGCCCCCGCCCCCTGTCCTCGCCCCGGCTGAGGGCTACGGCGCCCCCAAGCCCGCTGACGTGTACTCCGAAGGCTCCGCTCCCGCCGTGGCCGCAGCCATCCCTCCGCCGCCGCCCATCCACTCTGGCCCTGTGCTTCCTCCCGCCCCGCTGTCTCCTCCCCCGGCTAACTATGGCAGCCCTAAGCCTTCTGATGTATCCCACGGCCGGCAGCCGGTTCCTGGCCCTGTTCTGAACGCACCCCCGCCCCCCGCCCCTCAGCCATCCTACAACGCCCCCCACCTGCCCCTCAGCCATCCTACAACGCCCCCCACCTGCCCCTCAGCCGACCTTCAGCGCCCCGCCGCCCGCCCCAGCCGTCTTACAGCGCCCGCCCGCCCGCCCCTCAGCCCGCCCCAGCCTGTCTACAGCTCGCCCCCCGCCCCTCAGCCCGCCCTCAGCGTCGGCCAGTCTCCGTCCTCGATCTCCGTGTCCGCGCCGGTCGTGTCCCACGGTAGCGTGTCCGCGCCCGCCCCGACCTACAACGTGCCCGACGCCGACGTGTCGGGCTCCGCCAACTCGTACGCGCCTCCCGAATCGCTCGGCCCCAACGACCCCTGGCCCGCCACCGTGCCCGAGATGCCCAAGATCACCGCGCTGGACGTCAAGTGCGAGAAGAACCTGATGAAGGTCAGCATCGCCTTCGACAAGCCCTTCTACGGCATCATCTTCAGCAAGGGCCACTACAGCAACGTGAACTGCGTCCACCTCCCGGCTGGCCTCGGCCGCTCGCAGGCGACCTTCGACGTGTCCATCAACGCCTGCGGAACGACCGGCAACACCGAGAACGGCCTCTACGGCTACGGCAGCGAGAGCGGCTCTGGCACGTTCTTCGAGAACACCATCGTCGTGCAGTACGACCCTCAGGTGCAGGAGGTGTGGGACCAGGCCCGCAAGCTGCGCTGCACGTGGCACGACCAGTACGAGAAGTCCGTGACCTTCCGGCCCTTCCCCGTCGACATGCTGGACGTGGTTCGCGCCGACTTCGCCGGGGACAACGTGGGCTGCTGGATGCAGATCCAGGTGGGCAAGGGCCCGTGGGCCTCCGAGGTGTCGGGGCTCGTCAAGATCGGCCAAACGATGACCATGGTGCTCGCCATCAAGGACGACGACAACAAGTTCGACATGCTGATCCGCAACTGCATGGCGCACGACGGCAAGCGCGCCCCCATCCAGCTGGTGGACCAGCGCGGCTGCGTCACCAGGCCCAAGCTCATGTCCAAGTTCACCAAGATCAAGAACTTCGGCGCCTCTGCCTCCGTCCTCTCGTACGCCCACTTCCAGGCCTTCAAGTTCCCCGACTCCATGGAGGTCCACTTCCAGTGCACGATCCAGATCTGCCGCTACCAGTGCCCCGCCCAGTGCAGCGAGGAGAGCGCCGTGTACCCCGCCGCGGGCACCATCGGACGAGCCAAGCGTGAGACGGAGGGCGACGCCAAGGCCGAGCCCGAGGAGCCCAAGGACATCGGCGTGAACAGAGTGATCCAGGTCGTGTCGGCGCGAGACCTCACCTTCGTTCTGGACAAGAAGACCGGCACCGAGGAGATCAAGGAGTCGGAGACGGCGACCCTCGTGGCGCCCCAGATCGAAGACCAGTCCGGCCTCATCTGCATGTCCACGCCCGGATTCGCCGCGACGCTCGTCATCCTGCTGGCCATCCTGATCGTGTCCTGCCTGCTGTCCGCCTTCCTGTGCCTCAGGTTCCGCGGCTACGGCGACACGCGGTCCATCATCTCCTCGTACGAGAACCCGGCCTTCCTGCACAAGAAGGGCCACTTCTAAACGCACAAGACGCCGCTATTCCTTGAGTACATAACCGCGGGGGGCACGGGTGTCACGCACCCACCAGCCGTGACTCCACCCGGGTACCCGCACCCGCGCCGTCCCGCCACAAGCCGCGGCGCCAAGGGGGTCGCGGCCGGGCATTCAGGCGCCAAGAGTCACGCTAACCATGTGGCGCCGGGAGGGGGGGAGCAGCGCCCCGGGTCACCCTCCCTCCCTCCGCCAAGGGCCGCGTC